GAAACATCTTTTCAAGTTCAATACAATGTTGATTTTGATAAAGTTCAAAATTCTTTGTTAATTTAATGTGCTCGAAGCAAACATTGAAAATTCTTTTAAAGAACGAGTTTTTCTAAACGATGTTCGTTTACGTTTAACGATTTCATGATATCATTCGATGTAAGTTGGAAGAACTGATCCTTTCGCTGTTTACTATTCAAGTTTCGAAGTTACTCGAAGGTGTTTATGGTGTAATCATTGAAAGATTCGTTTGACGACGAATCATTACATTTTCATGTATCGATGCTGTTTCGAAAGGAGAACTAGTCGCTGAACTTGGTAGCAAGCGGTTAAACCCGCACGTATCACCAGTGGTAAGAAGGTATCGGTGATTAATGCAGACACTCGTTGCATCATGTATGTATAATGGTCGATCGAAGAAAGTTGATGGAATGGTCCAACAGATTCAAAGAAATATTCATCGTTGGACATTCGTGATTTCATGGATGTTCATTTATCGCTTGTTACCGATAGTAGGAAGATATATTCGCGTTCCAACGTGAAGTTTACGATTTTACCAAACCGTAAAATCAGTATCTAATTCATTTCCAGTGTCACGAACATGGCTATTGAATATCCTCGTACATTTATTGATTAATATATTTTCTCCGTATCTACCGATTAAAACTGCAAAGCTGATTCATATAACTTGGTAAACGAAAGTTTCAAGAAGCCTTTTACTGCAAATTAATATTAAATTTGAAAAGTAGAATAGTAGTAATATTATTCCCGATTTCAATAACAAATTATAGTGATCGACTTAGTTTTATCTCATCGTTATCAACGCTATTATCTGATATAACACGGTTTATACTATTAATATTAACTTACGCACAAAACGTTTAAAGTAATATGTAAATATCTAAGAACAGCATATTTGATTGTGAATATTTAAAAACACTTTCACCCTAAACGAATACTTCTCTGTTGAGTAAGAGAAATTCCATAAACAATGGAATGAATCGCTAGCAGAATAGTTTAGCGTATAAAAGTCATTACAATAATAATATGCACTTAGAGACATCTTACACAATTTACACGCATTATGTAATATTGTGCGTACATTATCAATAAAGTTTACTTTTCGTAAGAATGGCGTACGTGTTAAAATTGATATCCGTCTCTGTACACGTGATATATCCACTATTTGTACACATAGAATTCTACTGATTTTGCTATATTAACTATGCTACTAACTTATCTTATCTATTTAAAACTCAAAAGCAATACTGCCTTGGGAATACTGAAACTTCTCACGCAAACCCAAGTGCCTTAATGGGTGTCTGTTCAGGAACCGATACTCTCAAACATATGTAACTGCTTAATTTGTAAGTCAATAATCCCAGAAATACGAACCTACCGTAGAACGGGTATAATCTCGAAAGTACAACATGTCGCAAGCTTATAGATGTCCCCTAGATGTAAATATCTTGTTAACGACAGTTTCAGTGTTTACTACGAAAACTGTTTCTTCTAACGTAATGACTTACAAATGATGAAACTAATAATGGAGAAACTACGAATTCTCTCTTGGAACATATATTACAATTAGATTCATTTACAATTCCACGAACTTTAACAATTAGTATTCCTAGTTCCCTGACTGGCACTGCTTATTAAGGATATTATCAGAAACATGGTATTCAATTTTCTATTTGCAATGTACCATCTTAAATGAGTCGATGAGAATAAATGGTGGATCAGTGTTCTACTTATTCCCGAAATTCTGCTGTCCATATTACATTGTAAAGAATGCATACAATAGAGTCGCATCCCTCTTTGCAGTATACTTTTTTATATATATAAAATATATATATATATATATATATAAAATATTTATATATTTATATATATTTATATATATATAAAATATTTATATATTTATATATTTATATATATATAAAATATTTATATATATATATATATATATATATATATATATATATATATAATAAATAAAGAATC